CTTTCGTCCACCGCCACATGCAGCTGCACGGTACGCTGCTGCTCGGCTGCGTAGCCATCGATGGCATCATCCACTTCATGCCAGGCCTGCAGCACGGTGCGACGGAACTGTAGCGCCGATTGCTGCTGCTGCAGCCGGCTCAATGCGAGGTTGGCCTTCAACCGCCCGCCCTGGAAGATCGGCAGGCTGATCGACGGCCCGATGCTGAACCGGTGCGCGTTCCAGCCGTCCAGGTCATCCAGCTGCCTGGCCTGGAAACCGGCATCGCCATTCAAGGTGATGCGCGGCAGGAAGCTGGCCTGAGCCACGCCGATGCCCGCCGTCGCCGCATGCAATGCCGCTTCGGCACGGCGGATGTCCGGGCGACGTTCGGCCAGTTCGCTGGGCACGCCCACCGCCACCGTCGGCAACGTCGGCCAGTCACGGCGCGCGTCCTGCAGCTGTGCGTCCAGCGCCTGTGGCGGTTGTGCCAGCAGGAATGCCAGCGCATTGCGCAGCTGCGATTCGCGATGCTGCAGCGGTGCGATGCGCGCCTGCAGCGAAGCGACCTGCGCCGCCGCACTGGAAACCTGCAAGGTGCTGGCCACACCCTGGCGCTGGCGCGCTTCGGTCAGGCGCTTGATATCGTGGGCGATGCTCAGATTGTCCTCGGTGATCGCCCGCAACTGCCGCGTCGCGCGCAGCTGCAGGTAGTCACGCGCGGTTTCCGCCAGCAGCGCGATGCGCACCGCGTGTGCATCCTCCTCGGCCATCTGCACGCGTGCATCGGCCGCTTCCACCTGGCGGCGCACGCGGCCCCACAGGTCCAGCTCCCAGCTCAGGCCGATGCCGGCCTGGAACAGCCCGTAGTCCTCGCGCCCGCCGTTGCCGGACGGATCGCTCAAGCCCACCTCGCTGTTGCGTGCGCGTGCGCCGCTGGCGGTTGCGCTGACGCTGGGCAGACGGTCGGCCGCGGTGGCACCGCGCGCGGCGCGACTCTGCTGCACGCGGTTGGCCGCCAACTGCAGGTCCAGGTTGGCCGCCAGCACCTGGCTCGCCAGCTGGCCCAGCAGCGGATCGTCGAAGCCGGCCCACCAGGCCGCGTCCTGGTCGATGGCGTTGCCGGCGACCGCCTCACCCTGCCAGTGGCTGGGCAGCTCTGCCCGCGGGCGTACGAAGTCCGGGCCCATCGTGCAGGCGGCCAGGGCCGTGCACAGGGTGGCCGCAACGAAGGTTCGGAACACGCTGCCAGCGCTCATGCGTCCTCCCCGTCCGTGCGGTCCTGCACGCGCTGCGCGCTCTGCACGCGCACGCGGCTGTCCAGGTCAACGCGGGCTTCCACCGACATGCCGGCACGCAGCTGCTCCAGCAGCGGCTGGCCCGGCTCCAGCACGATCTTCACCGGAATGCGCTGCACCACCTTGGTGAAGTTGCCGGTGGCGTTTTCCGGCGCGATGGCGGCAAAGGTAACGCCAGTCGCCGGTGCGATGCTGTCGATGTGGCCACGCAGCGGCTTGCCCGGGAACACGTCCACCTTCAGCTCAACCTGCTGGCCGGCCTGCATGCGGGTCATCTGCGTTTCCTGGAAGTTGGCGACCACGAACGCGCGCTTCAACGGCACCACGGCGGCCACCGGCGTTCCCGGCGTCAGGTAGGCGCCAACGCGTACCGCACGGCGGCCGACCATGCCGTCGATCGGTGCGCGCAGCACGGTGTGCGACAGATCCAGTTCGGCGCGCGCCTGCGCGGCTTCGGCGCGTTGTACCGCGGCCTGCGCGGCCTGCACACCGGCTGTCAGGATGTCGGTGCGCTGGCGTGCGGTCGACAACGCGGCCTGGCCCTGCTGCAGGTGCGCACTGGCCACCGCCTGCTTCGACTGCGCCTGCTGCGCGTTCTGCACGGTGCCGGCGCCGTCGCGGGCCAGTTCGCGGTAGCGCTGCTGGTCGGCGCTGGCCAGGGTCAGTTCGGAGCGGCTGACATCGACACTGGCCCTGGCCTGTTCGATCAGCGAGCCCTGCTGGGCCAGTGCGGCCTGTGCATTGGCCAGCTGTGCACGGGCGTTGGCCAGGTCGGCACGCGCTGCCTGCAGGGCCACCTGGTAGTCGCGGTCGTCGATGCGCGCCAGCACGTCGCCGGCCTTCACGGGTTGGTTGTCGTCCACCTCGACGCTGCTGACGAAGCCGGCCACCTTCGGTGCGACCACGGTGAAATCCGCATTGACGTAGGCGTTGTCGGTGCGCTGGTAACGCCCGTCGCGCAGCAGCAGCCAGCTGCCGGTCGCCAGGGCCAGCACGCCCAGCACGAGGCCGGTGTTGAGGGTTGTCTTGTTGAGGCTCATGGGGGAGTCCTTGCGGGTGAGGGTCAGGCCACGGCACGTGGCGGGTGGACACGGGTGGCCCACGGCAGCAGCGGCAGGCAGCCCAGGGCCACCAGCGCGACCAGCCAGTACAGGTCCGCCGAGGTAAGCGCCTGCACCTGGGCGTGCAGCCGCGCGGGCAGATCGGCGCTGGCGGGCAACCACGGCTGGTTGCCCAGGTGATCGATCAGCGCGGTGGAATGGAGGTGGCGCCGTGTCTGTCCGACCGCATCAAGCACGCCACCGGCAAACACCGCCGAAAAGCCTTTGACGGTGTTGAACCAGGCCGAGGCATAGGGACCGTCCTGCGGCGCCAGGCCGGTGGTCGCCAGCAGCAGCAACGGCAGCACCGCCATCGGCTGTGCCACCACCTGCAGCAGTTGCACCCACAGGAAGGTGTCGCGGTTCCACTGCACATCCAGGTGTGCGCCCAGGAAGCACGCCGCCGCCAGCAGCAGCAGCCCGGCCGCCTGCACCCAGCGGCAGTCCACCGCACGCTGGTTCATCAGCGCAGCCACCAGCGGCAACGCAATGGCCTGCGGCAGCGCCACCCACAACAACATCGGCGCGGTCTGCAGCGGGCGGTAGCCCTGCACACTGGCGAGAAAGCCGGAGGGGATGGAGATGACCGCCAGCAGCACGAACAGCACGCCCACGCAGGTGACCAGCGAATAGCTGAGATTGCGATGGGCCAGCAGTTGCAGCTTGAAGAACGGCAGCGGGTGGAACCACTCGTTGATGAAGAACAACACCAGCAGGCCGGTGCCGCCGCCAAGCAGCACCGTGATCAGCGGCGAATCGAACCAGTTCAGGCGCGCGCCCTGGGTCAGGCCCAGCACCAGCATCACCAGTGCCGGCAACCCCAGGGCCAGGCCCACGCCGTTGAACTGGGCAAAGCGCTCCAGGCGCATCGGGTCCTGCGGCAGGCCCCAGCCGACCATCACCATGCCGGCCACGCAGAACGGCACGATCTGCCAGAACGCGAACTGCCAACCGGCGTGCTCGACCCACAGTGCGGCCAGCGGCGTGCCCATGCTCGGCCCGAACGTTGCGGTGAGCGCGTAGCCCGCCAGGCCATACAGCTTGATGCCCGGCGGCAGGAAGCGCAGCGCCACGCTCATCAGCAGCGGCGGCAGCGCACCGCCGGCCAGGCCCTGCAATGCGCGCAGCAGCAGGAAAGTCGGCAGGTTCGGCGCCAGCGGGCACAGCACCCCCAGCACCATGAAGGCGGCGATCATCACCAGGCCGAAGCGGCGCAGCGAGAAGGTGGCTGCGCACCAGGGCGCGAAGGCCATCGCGCTGACCGACATGGCGCTGTAGATGCCGGTGATCCAGTTGCCGTCATCGGCACTGAACCCCATCCCACCGCGGATGTCGGCCAGCGCGACCTTGGTGACGTTCTCGTTGAAGCCCGACAGCAGCACCACCAGCAGCACGCCGCACAATCCGACCACGATGCGGCGATCGAACGCGGGGGCAAGCGGGGCGGCGGGGGCCTGTGGCACGGTGATCGCGCTCATGGGCGCGGGCCGATCCGTGCGGCGCACGGCAGGTGAAGCGACATGGCGTGCGCTCCGTGAATGTGGGGAGCGCAGTCTAGGCAGGCCCACTGCTGCGAAAAATGGCGTGGATGCGATGCCAGGCGTGCGCGGGACGCACGGGTTTGGGTGGGTGCCGACCGTTGGTCGGCACACGATTACACAGCGTCGGCGTCGCACATGCTCTTGATCGCACGGCGCAGCCAGCGGTGCGCCGGGTCGTTGTCCATGCGCGGGTGCCAGGCCTGCACCAGCGCCACCGTGCGTACCGGCACCGGCAACGGGAACATGCGCAGTGGCAGCCCCATGTAGGCGATGCGATCGAGCATCACGCTGGGCATCTGCGGCAGCACCAGGTCCGAGGCGGCTGCAGCAAAGATCGCGCCATGGAAGGTGGGGATGACCATCGCCACCCGCCGCTGCAGGCCCAGCTGTGCCAGTTCGTCGTCGATCGGCCCATGCGCGATGCCGCGCCGCGAGACGGCGATGTGGTCGCATGCGGCAAACCTTTCGGCGGTGATATCGCCGTCGAACAGCGGATGATCCTTGCGCGCTGCGCCCAGCAGGGCCGTGGTGAACAGGTTCTGCACCTTGGTTTCCTGGGTGTGCTTGCCGGCAGTGCTGATATACAGGTCGATCCGGCCCTGCACCATCGCGTCATCGTCGGTATCGCCTTCGGGCATGAACCGCAGCGTGCAGCCTGGCGCCTGCTCGCGGAACACGTCCCGCAGGCGGCCGCCGTAGCTGCCGATGAACACGTCGTTGGCGCGGATGCTGAAGGTACGTTCCAGGGTCTGGATGTCCACCTCGCGCCCTTCGTTGAACACCCGATGGGCCTGCTCGATCACGTCGCGCACCTGCTCGCGCAGTTCCAGCGCGCGTGGGGTCGGCGCCAGGCCGCGGCCGGCGCGTACCAGCACCGGGTCGCCCAGCGCGTCGCGGATCCGCCCCAGGGTGCGGCTCATGGCCGGCGCGCTCAGATTCATGCGCCGAGCCGCTCCGGCGACACTGCCTTCGTCCAGCAGGATATCCAGGGCCAGCAGCAGGTTGAGATCGGGCAAGGGCATGGCAGTCTCCAATAAATGGAGTGACTCTACGACACTCCAAGTAAAAGTCGATTGCATGCCATGCACGTATTGCCTGCGCCGCACGGCATGGGTGCGCGCGGTGACATCGGCGACCATCCCCGGCCTGCCAAGGAGACATCCATGTTCAATACCCTGCTGGTCGCCCTGGACGGCGGCCCCCAGCACGCGCGCGTGCTGGACCTCGCCGCGGCCATCGCCGGCCCGCGTAGTCGCCTGCACCTGCTGTGCGTGCTCGATCCCGAATTCGCGCTGGCCGCCGATGCCAGCGAAGCCGACCGCATCGAGTATCCGGAAGCCGCCCGCCAGCGCTCGCGCGCCGAAGCGGTGCTGGCCGAAGCCTTGGCCGAACTGCGCGAACGCGGCGTCGATGCCATCGCGCAGATTCCCTCCGGCGATCCCGGCGAAGTCATCAGCGAACAGGCCAAGCGCCTGAAGTGCGACCTGATCGTGATCGGCCACCGCCACCTGTCCCGCCTGCAACGCCTGTTCGAACCCTCGATCGGGCAATGGACCATCGACCACGCGCCCTGTCCGGTGCTGGTGGAAACCCGCGACCCCCAACCCTAGCTGCCATGGCCTCCCGTTCCCCCTTGTTTCCTACCCGCGTCAACTACCGGGCATTCGGCCGCCAGTTGGGTCGTGGCGAGCAGGCACTGCTCGCTGCGATACGCCAACTGCGCGAGCCCGACCTGCGGGCCGATGGGCTGGCCGGGTTGAGCGACCTCGGCCTTGATCCCGAGGGCTGCGGCGCGTTCATCAACCTGCTGCCGCTGCTGGCCACGCCTGCCGCGCCGATAGATCTGCTGCGGTCCGGCTCGCCGTTCATCGCCGCCAGCGAACTGGACCTGCTGGCCTGCCTGCTGCGTATTGCACAGTGGCGGCACGCACGCCCCCGCGACGACGACACGCTGGCGCCGTTGCGCCGGCAACTGGCACGCTGTGCATTCGTGGTGCACGCGGCGAAGCTGCCACTGCGGCAGCGCTCGTTGTCACCGGTCGGGCTCCGCCTGCTCGATCCGGCCGGCTGGCTGCGGCAGCGATGATGCGCACGCGCAGGCACCACGGGAACCATGGCCTTCAGCAATCCATCGTGCCGTGCGTGCTGCCTTCGTCATCCAGCACATGCGCGTGCAGCACCACCTGGTTGCGGCCGGCCCGCTTGGCGGCATACAGGCCGGCATCGGCGTCCGCCAGCAACTGATCGGCACTGGCCAGGGCCGGTGGATGCAGGTAGCCCACGCCGATGCTGATACTGACCGACCCTTCCGGCAGCGGCAGGGCCTCCACCGCCTCGCGCAGCCGTTCGGCCAGCGCCAGCACGCCCGACAGCGCGCTTCCAGGCACGATCACCGCGAATTCCTCGCCGCCATAGCGCGCCACGCTGTCGCCAGCGCGGCCGGCGATGGCCTTCAACACCGCGGCCACGGCCTGCAGGCAGCGATCGCCAGCCGGATGGCCGTGCTGGTCGTTGAAGGCCTTGAAATGGTCGATGTCCACCAGCAGCAGGCCCAGCGGGCTGCCACTGCGCCGTGCGCGGTTCCACTCCGCCAGCAGCAGCGCGTCGAACTCGCGGCGGTTGGCAACCCCGGTCAGGCCATCCTGGCGCGCCAGCTGGTCCAGGCCGGCCTGGCGTTCCATCAGGTCGGTCTGCAGCAGGATGCTGCGCAGGCCGAAGCCCAGCGTGGCCACCACGAAGCCACTGACCGCCAGCGGTCGCGCGTGGTCGACCACCAGCGTGCCCACCACCAGCAGCAGCAACGGCAGGATCATCGGCCCCGCAGCCTGCACGGTGCGCGCCAGCCGTGGATGCGGCGCCGAGCCCGGTACCGGTGCCCGGCTCAACGCCAGCAACGCCAGCAGCAGGAACGGCAGGTCGATCAGCAGATCGTTGTAGGCGCCGAAGGAATCACCCGAGGTGTAGTGGTTGATGTAGTAGGCCACCAGCAGGTACGCCAGCGCGTACAGCGCCAGCACCCGGAAGAAGCCGCGCCGCTCGGGCACATCACCGGCCAGCCAGCGCACCACCGCGAACCCGGCGATGCACAGGTTCTGGATATCGAACATGCGCTGCATGCTGGCCATCGCCGAATCGTCGATATCGATACGGGCGGCGAACGATTGCGTATGCACGAAGAACAGCACGCCCAGCAGCGCCGCCATCGCGGCGTCGATCAGGCTGATGCTCAGGCGCTCACGGCGCGCGCGGGCCAGGATGAACACCAGCGGCACGCCGTACAGCACGTACAGGAACAGGCTGGCCTGCGGCGTGATATCGGCGCGACCGGCGCCGAGTGCATCGATCATGTTGAAGGCCATGCCGCCAGCCCACAGCAGCAGCGCCAGCGCCGTGGCACGCCAGCCAAGCGCGGCGCGGTCGCGACGTGCCCGCCACAGGCAGGCCATCGCCGCCAGCAGCGGCGCGCCGGTCAGGAAAACGAAGGAGCCCACGCCGGTCGCCCCCGGCCACAGGGCCACGACCAAGCCATGGCACAGCACGTACAGCAGCGCCAGCACTACCGGCATGCCTCCCCCGATCCGCAAGGCCGTATGCGCGCACGATAGCGCGGCGTCGCGCCACGATGGCGTGATCCAGCGCAGAAAAAAGGGGACGGAGGGGATTAAGTCGCTTTCGGCACAATGGCAAAAGCGACTTAATCCCCTCCGTCCCCTTTTCCGGGGGTGTCAGCCTTGGAGGGCGCGGGCGTGGTGTGCCACGTGCTCGCCGATGAAGCTGGCGATGAAGTAGTAGCTGTGGTCGTAGCCGGGCTGCAGGCGCAGGGTCAGCGGGTGGCCGGCCGCATCGCAGGCCTGCTGCAGGCGCTCGGGCTGCAGCTGGGTCTGCAGGAACTCGTCGGCCCCGCCCTGGTCGACCAGCAGGGGCAGGCGCTCACTGGCCGTCGCCACCAGCGCGCACGTATCCCACTGCGCCCAGTCGGCCGGGTTGTCGCCCAGGTAGGCGTGGAACGCCTTCTGCCCCCATGGCACATGGCTGGGCGCGACGATCGGCGAGAACGCCGACACGCTACGGTAGCGCCCCGGATTACGCAGCGCGATCACCAGTGCACCGTGGCCGCCCATCGAATGGCCACTGATCGCACGCGCGCCGGTCGCGGGGAAGCTCGCCTCGATCAGCGCCGGCAGTTCCTGGGCCACATAGTCGTGCATGCGGTAATGCTTCGCCCACGGTGCACGGGTGGCGTTGAGGTAGAACCCTGCCCCCTTGCCCAGGTCGTAGCCTTCGGCATCAGCCACGTCATCGCCACGCGGGCTGGTGTCGGGCGCAACGATGATCACGCCGTGCTCGGCCGCATAGCGCTGCGCGCCGGCCTTGGTGATGAAGTTCTGCTCGGTGCAGGTCAGCCCGCTCAACCAATACAGCACTGGCAGCGCCTGCGTCTCCGCCTGTGGCGGCAGGTACACGGCGAACTGCATGTCGCAGCCCAGCGTGGTCGAATGATGACGGTAGACGTCCTGCCAGCCACCGAAGCAGGCGCGGTGTTCGATGCGTTCCATGGGTTCCTCCCGAGGGGCGGCAGGCCCTCAAGCCTGCCACCCGGCGCGGCTCAGTAGTGGACCACCGAACGGATCGACTTGCCTTCATGCATCAGGTCGAAGGCGTCGTTGATCTTGTCCAGGTCCATGGTGTGGGTGACGAACGGGGCCAGTTCGATATCGCCCTTCATCGCGTCCTCGACCATGCCGGGCAGCTGGCTGCGACCCTTCACGCCACCGAAGGCGGTGCCCATCCACTTGCGGCCGGTCACCAGCTGGAACGGGCGGGTGGAGATTTCCTGCCCAGAACCGGCCACGCCGATCACCACGCTCTGGCCCCAGCCACGGTGCGCGCATTCCAGCGCCGCGCGCATCACGTTGACGTTGCCGATGCATTCGAAGCTGTGGTCCACGCCCCAGGTGGTCATCTCGACGATGACCTGCTGGATGGGCGTGTCGAAGTCTTTCGGGTTGATGCAGTCGGTGGCTCCGAATTCACGGGCCAGCTCGAACTTGGACGGATTGGTGTCCACCGCGATGATGCGGCCGGCCTTGGCCTGGCGCGCACCCTGGATCACCGCCAGGCCGATGCCGCCGAGGCCGAACACCGCCACGCTGTCGCCTTCCTGCACCTTGGCGGTGTTGTGCACCGCACCGATGCCGGTGGTGACGCCGCAGCCGAGCAGGCAGACGTGCTCCGGGTTCGCGTCCGGATTGATCTTCGCCAGCGAAACCTCGGCCACCACGGTGTACTCGCTGAAGGTCGAGCAGCCCATGTAGTGGTACAGCGGCTCGCCGTTGTAGCTGAAGCGGCTGGTGCCGTCGGGCATCACGCCCTTGCCCTGGGTGGCGCGCACGGCCACGCACAGGTTGGTCTTGCCGCTCTTGCAGAACAGGCACTCGCCACACTCGGCGGTGTACAGCGGAATCACGTGGTCGCCCGGCTTGACGCTGGTCACGCCCTCGCCCACCTCCACCACGATCCCCGCGCCTTCATGGCCCAGCACCACCGGGAACAGGCCTTCCGGATCGTCGCCGGACAGGGTGAACGCATCGGTGTGGCACACACCTGTGTGGGTGATCCTGACCAGCACTTCGCCGGCCTTCGGCGGGGCGACGTCGATCTCGACGATCTGCAGCGGCTGGCCGGGACCAAAGGCGACGGCGGCACGGGACTTCATGGTGGCTTCTCCAAAGACAGGCAATGACAGGATGCGCGGCGCAACGTTGCGCCGTCGTTTACTTCAGGTACGAGCGGATCAACGCGCTCATGTCGCGCACGCGTTCGGCGCGTTGTTCGTCGGAGGCCGCAGGCTGGCCGAACTCCTCGCGCAGATGCGCCTCCATCACCTCGGACATCAGGCCGTTGACCGCGCCCCGGATGGCGGCGATCTGCTGCAGCACCGGCCCGCAGTCGGCACCGGCTTCCAGCGCGCGGTCCAGCGCATCGCACTGGCCGCGGATGCGGCGCACGCGGGCCAGCACCTTCTTTTTCTCTTCGGGGGAGTGCGGCATGGCGCGGCCACCTCTGAACTATACTGGAGGATAGTATACATGGAAGCAATTGCCTTGACGCAAATGGCTTCCTGGAGCTCCGGGACGGCAGCTTTTAATCAAGCAAAATCAATTGCTTGAAATGACCCAGCGGCCACCAACGCTGTGTCAGGCAAGCTATCGGGGGCAACATCTGGAATCAAATAATGGGCATTGGCATCCAACTCGGGCGCATCACCGATGAGATCGGCAGCAGCGATTTTCTGTATGCGTTCTTCTCGACAATCAGCGGCAATCTGGAACCGGATGGATGGGGAAGCCGCTTCCCGATCATCATGGAGCAGCTCTATGCCGGCTGCGTGCAGAAATCAGATGCGGCCACCGCGCTGTTCGAAATGCACGTCATCCGCACTGAGCTAGCCGAAATGCCACCGACCCATGCCATCTGGTCGTTCGACGATCGAGCGCAGCGTCCGCCGTGGGGAGACGATATCGCTCCCGAAATTGATAGCTTGGGGAACTATTTCGTCACTGCACATGGGCGTGATCTGATTGCGCTTCTGATTGATGTACTTGAAGCACTTCAGGAAGGCGGAGACACGTCTGCCCGGATCGTCAGCTATTGATGCGTCCGGCTCAATCGAACAGCCCCTCACCCGCCAACCGGGTCAGTTCATCCACCACGTAGCGCACTTTCGGCCGCAGGTGACGGGTTGGCGGCCACAGCGCGTGGATGTCGATGTGGCGCTGCATGTGCGCGTCCAGCACCGATTGCAGCGCGCCGGATTGCAGGTGACGGCGTACCAGCGACGCCGGCATCTGGCAGATGCCCAGCCCGGCGATGGCGGCGTCGATCACCGCATCGCCGTCGTTGAGCTGGTAGGCCGCGTTGGGGATGAAGGTTCCTTCGGCATCATCACTGCCGATGCGCCACGCTACCGGCTGCCCGTGGCGGAAGCCAACGATGCTGCGGTGCTGTGCCAGTTCCTCCACACTGCCCGGCACGCCGTGCGCCTGCAGGTAGGCCGGCGCGGCGCAGGTGACCAGGCGCTGGCGG